TTACCCAATAAATAAAAGGGTGTAAGTCTTGATGGCTTTTGAGAATGCCAAGTTGGCTTTGGCTTTGGATGGAAGCGATTTCCATATTATTGTACAAATGCAATTAATCTGTCATTGTTAGGGAAGGTAGATTGCATTGATTCCCTTTACTTTACTCAAGGCCTTTGTTTATATTATAATTTTAGCAAGAAAAGTATAATATATAGAACACAAGAAAGAAAGCAAACTGTGGAAAATCGAAAATTCTATACACTTGCAAAGAGAAAATCCATCATAACTAAGTGAAAAATGCTTTAATTTCCAATCGGAAAATGTTTCTGAGTTCGTTTTTGTTTGGTTAGCAAATCGATTTAAAATTTCAGAAAATTGAAATTTTTGGCAATTTTAAAAAATTTTAATAATGTAACCCCTTATCATTTTTTCAAATTTTTGAAAAACTTTCAAATATTTATTTTTTTACCACACATAGCTAGATCGATTTAGCTATTGATTCTGATCTAAAATATATATGATTTATAGGGTCGGAAATGACTTCTTCACATAATAACAAGCTTGTAACACAAATAACAATACCAGAATTTCCTTTAAAATAAGTTTTTTAAATAATTTTATCTGGGGATATCCTTGGTTAAAAGCACTTAAATCAAAATAATTAGGACACGAAAGTGACTAATTTAATATGTTTATCTGACTTTAAAATGATTTTAATATCAACATTCATTGATATACATTTATATAACCTGTATTTATAAATATACATTTCTTTTAGATCAAAAGACTTTTCCTAATTCAAAGACTTAGGAAACGAACTCGATCTTTTTTATTAATTTTAAAGTTTTAAAATCATTATCATTATTAAAAACATCATTCATTGGCCTCTATTTATGTATATACTAATTATAAATCTATAAATTATAAATATAGGTTTTTTTAGAACAAAAAACTTTTCCCAAATCAAAAGACTTAGGACACGAACTTGATAGGTTTTATTAATTTAAAGGTTTCAAAATCTTTATAATTTTTAAAGTAAATATTTATTGACCCCTAAATATGTATATACAAATTTTAAATCTTAAAATTATAAATATGAAATATTTTTAGACCAAAACACTTTTTCCAAATCAAAAGACTTAGGACACGAACTTGATAGGTTTAATTAATTTAAAGGTTTCAAAATCATTATAATTTTTAAAGTAAATATTCATTGACCCCTAAATATGTATATACAAATTTTAAATCTAAAAATTTTAAATATAAAATATTTCTAGACCAAAAGACTTTTTTCAAATCAAAAGACTTAGGACACGAACTTGATGGGTTAAAATTATTTAAGCTTTAAGTCTGACTTTTAAAAGTTTTTCACATCACTATTCATGGATTTATGTAAATTTTTTATGTAAGTATAAATTATCAAAATAAATTTATAAAAATTATATAAAATTTACGAATAAATATGTATCAAAATCAAAAGACTTAGGACACAAACTCGACTCTTTTGACCTGATCTAACCATATTAAAGATTCTCTCAATTAGAGGCTAGTTACCTCACGCCGCGTGAACTATCCATTAAAGGGGCGAGATTACGTGGTCCATCTGTCCGTCTATATGTTTACAAGTCTCTATAAAGATATATATATATATGTAGTATATATGTATATAGTGTTCCTAGGTGCTACCGTCTAGTTCCGGTTTCAGCTGCCGTGGGGGCATTAGAAGCGTCAGCTACAGCTAATGCTGGCCAGATAGATAATAATAGATTTTCTCACGCTTGATATTTCAGCCACTGAATGACGTTGAAGTGAGGTGCGGCCAAGAGAGAGGGAGAGAGAGGGGGGCCGGAAATCAGGCAAACTGAAAGCGATTGCAAGTTTAGAAATTACGTGCGGCTGCGGGAAAAATATTAATAAGTTACATATACGGCAGAGCGCAACGCTCGGCTAATATGTTTCTATTGGAACTACAAAAACTATAAAATGATTTGCATGATTTGGCACAAACATTTCACACCTGAACCTGCCTTCGAATGCCGTAATTATATGGTGTGGCTGCTGCGAAACATCTTCGCTAAATTACGAATTACGATTACGACTGCCACTTGGAGTGCACATACATATCGAGCTTGGACTGCGACTGGGCCTGGTCGGTGGCAATAGGAATTTGTATGCATTTATGGCACTTAGTCATACCCAAGTGATTTGCTAAACTAGTTTAGCCCCGCACACACACAGAGCGTATTCCCATTGGGTAATTCCAAAACGTTGCATTGCACAAAAACAATGGCAGGCGAGTACCTAATATGATATTAAAAAAAAGGTGAACTTTGCTGAGCCGGATCTCTTCCCTGGCAACTAATTAAATGCACTTGCAAATTGCCGGCGACGGAATCACTTATTGAGTTATTCAAATGAAATGCCAGCTATGTGCTGAGAGGAACTCGATACTTTAATTGTAATCTGAATCGTGCAAAGATGAGCCCCCCTCAATGGGACTCCAGCCTCCGTGATCTCGATGGGAAACCATGGAATTTATCAATGAGCCTGGGGTTCACTCAGGTTGGGCTAGGTTTGATTCAGTTGAGATAAGTTGAGTATACTCAATGCTATCATTAGATTAAAAACTGTGGAAGGAGGTGTGACTAAAAGTTAATGAAATGTTTCTAATACCTATGGAGAGAAAACTATTCCGTTTTCCATCTGAAAAATCCCCTTTGAAAGGACATCGACATCGACATCTGTGGGGAAAATTTTCTCCCCATCTTGAACTCTGACCAGGCGCACTAAGCGTGTAAGCAAATTTGTCAAAACGGATTATCACCCATTTTCACTTGGCCAACAAGTTTGCTTGTCCAACTATTTAGGCGAACCCATTACCAGGCGATCGCGATGCCGATGCGGGAACCCCAAAAGGCGAGAGACCCAAAGACACACCTGATACCAGCCAGTGCTCATCTCATGAAAAATTGTCTTCGACACCAAGAGACCTGGGCCAGCTCCAAGGCACACAATGGGAGACCGGATCCCGGCATCTCCTCAGCATGCTGATAATTTGAGTATGCGAATAGACGGGCCAACACATGGCTATAACTGAGGATGAGGCACTGGCTTTGCTGCACTGAGGAAAAATCTTGAAGATCCTGCAAACTAAACATCAAACTCAACATAGCTTCTTCATATATTTTTCCCCAGTGTCGACTTAAGATGACATACAATCATATTAAAAATGGTTGCCGTTTTATTTTTGCTGCATTTTCTGTTGACCTCTTGCCGCCCCGTCCTGTGTGGGTCTCTCTACCCACCGCATTATTAATAATACCCCAAAGTCTGGGCCATGTTGGGCTCGAGCGTTTTGACCACCCCGCCCGCCAAAGCGGCAAAGCGGTTTCAAATGCCGGCCCAATGCAATTTTATTAACGCAACGACAAATGATCGCTCCATGTTGAAGTCGGACTTGAGACTGAGACCGGGGAGACCCGCAGCAAAAGGCTTTTGTAAGGAGACCTGGGCAGAGACCCTATTAAAATTGAAAATGTCGCGAGATCACTTATCGGACGGTAATAAAAATGGTGCTTTTAAAAAACAATTTGGCTTTTGGGATGAAGCCGAAGCTGAAGCCCCCGTACTATGTAGATTGTAGGTTGTATTGTAATTTATATCAGCTTTGGTGCGTGGACGTATAGTTGGTAGAGGGAGAGAAGTCTGGAAGTCTGGAAGTCTGTAATTCAAGCCAGTAAATATTTATGATCTGGCTAACGGGTTGCAGACAGTTTCGATTTACTTTCCGTGGGACTGTGGGATCCGCTTAGGACACTAAATGTTGCTAATTTTGGGGCAAAGTAATTAATTGTGAGTGTAGTCTCATTTCAGTTCCTTAAACAAAGGGTTTATAAGAAAGGTTTTGATACCAAGTGGTTTGCAATGAATTCAAAATTAACTTTGTTTTCAAATTCTTTGAGATATCTTATTCTGCCCCCCTGGAGATCTGTCTCTCTCCTTCCAAAAGAAAGGTGCTAATTGCAGGCTGCCTAGCTGACAATCGAAAAGGTAAATAGATTTGTCAAAGTTCTCTGCATTTGAATTCCCACAATGCCTGTCAAATAAAAGCTCACATAGTTCCTATAGTTCGTATAGTTCGTATCTCCATTGTTTGGAGTTTAATAAACGTCTAAATCATACTTTTGTGATGCATGTGCTAAAGACAAACGAATATGCGATGAGGGGGTGTTGAAGTTAGATGCTAGGAATGGTGTGTGGTCTTCCAACTGTGTCACTCAGAAGTATATACATTAAACACAGTTGAATTGTGGGTCTCCCGGCTAAAACTATACCTTTTTATGGGTGTTTTTTGTGGGAGATGAAATAGAACAAATTGTGGGAATCCGAAACTGGACGATAGACAACTTAATATATGCCGGATTTCACAGGAAATTTCTCTAGATTGCAATCTTGGATTTCTCAAATGTTAATCTGAAAAAAAAGATGCAAAGAGCCCCCTCTGGCTGACGCCACTGACAGGGCTCGATAATTGGCATGCAACTCGAATAACTGACAGAAATCAAAGCCACACAAAACAAATCAAAATGCATGCATATAGTATGTTATGTTGCCATATGATTAATGCCCTGCACAGGGAATAAAATCAAGATATCAAAACGGAGGGCTACTGAAATTCTTAATAAAGATAAAGATAAAGGCAGGGCTGGGCAGGAAAAGGATCTTTTAAGTAGCTGCTCTTCCTCGTTATGGAATCGAATGGGAACTGCCATGCAGTTGTGGACTCTTTTGGGTCATTCGGAACCCGGTCACGTATGGAGCGTGAGCAAACTTTAAGTTAGATTAATCGAGGCATTGATTATGTGAAGGAGAAATGTCAAAACGAAAGGATATGAGCATTTCCTTTTTTGAGTTATGATCGGTTTCCGGTTGGCTAAATATGATTTGCAGCCCAGCAGAGGTACGAAAATGAGCGAATCGCGCCCTGAGATTTATAATATGTCACTTACCTTTTTTTGTGAGGGGGGAATCCCAGCTTATGTTTGATTTATGTCCAGGACTCTGTTTCTTCTTTCACTCTTATTCTTTTTCTGTATTTTTTTCCATGGTCCTTGCACCACCTACTGTTTTCCAATAACAATGAGATCGATCCCTGCAGCTGCCCCTTGTCGAGTTCGCTGCTTGTCCCAACATAAAGACATAATAACCTAAATAGATCACTTGTCCGGCTCGCACCTACGATCAAGTGTGTGGTCCTTGTGTCCCAAGACTGGCGCCAGTTTGTCACTCTTCTTGTGGTTTACCAATTGTGCAGGTCGAAGGTCGTTTTTCCAGGGAAATCATTTCGTGCACCAGTAAATTCAGTTCGTTGCCTAAGTCTTTCGTTTGTGCGTGCTGTGGGAAAAAAGGGAGAAAATTCCAATACAATAGATATATCTTATAGAAAGGCCAGAAATATCTTTCGGAATTAATATAAATAATTATAAATATTAAATCGATAAGAAAATGTCTGAAATATTACTTAAAATTCATCACTACTCCCACACGAAAAAGACAAAGATATTCACTTGACGGTTAAACCAATTCAGATCACAGACAGTCAGGTTGACCAGGCCCAGCCTTAATCTGTTACCAATTCCATATAGCCGTGATTCATCGCCATGATCTCCATCCATTGGCATTGTCATTGTGATTGCGGCTCATTGTCCACAAGCCCACACTCGAGGAGGGGCACTCCGTCTCGAGACCCTAATTGAAGCCTGCGCAAAAATTAGCTCAGAGTTATGCAGAAGCCAGAGCCATGTCGAGATGAAAGAATAATATTATTCTTTCGGGGCCGACCGCAATATTTGGCCCAAGTGTGTTGCTTAAGCCTGCCCCAAAGCCACCGCGTTTACGCACAACAAAAATATGAAAAAAGAAGGCCTCCTCTTTATCGAAACGCGCCAAATGCTTGGATAAACAAATCGATGACCGCAAAACAAAATGTGGTTAAGAAAACAAACCAAATCAGAGTAGGGTCTTAGAATTCATTGAGATGAGACAGACAGACGCGGGAACTCATGGGGATTTTTGCGGATGATTAATCATGGAATTTCTCTTGTGGCTTAAAGTGTGCTATAAATATTTAGATGAAATAATGCGGGGCCTTTACCTTAACACAATTGCTTGGTAATGATTAAAATAAAACGCTCGGCCAGTTTTCAAAATAACTTTGACAAAAGCAAGAGGAATACGGAGGGGACACCGGCTTAAGGCAATTAATTTCGTTAATAATTGTTCAATGTAGAGCTTTGGCAAAAGTTACTGAAGCGTCGACAATAATAATAATAATAACTTCCCCTCCGACTTAACCCTGAAATCTATATATATACATCGAGATACGTGCACGGCTATATGGGGAGCAAGTCATTAACGAGCTCTCGAACAGCTCTCGAACAATGAACAATTTCAGTTTTCTGTGTCACTGAAAATCACACAACTCGGTCCAACTCAGCCAGCTCAGCTCAGCTCAGTGGACTATAGCCGGCTTGTAATTGGCGTCCCCCAGACACACGGGGGAAGCTCAAGATCGGAGATATATATACACATATATACCTCTCCTCTGTGTGCAATTGTCAAAGATTGTCAAGTTTCGGCCTGGTCGGCCTGGTCGTGTGCCTGAGTTTAGTGGGTGAAATTGGCTGACTGACTTAATGTCGGCGGCGGTGACCTTCCCTGGGCCTAATAAATGCATAGGAAAAACCTTGCAGATACAGGTTGCATCATAAATATATACATATGTATATACCCTGGCACACTTCTGGCATTGTCTTTCATTATTTCTTGCACCGTTCGAATCATTGAACTTAAGCACATGAGCATGACTGTCGCCGGCGACGACTGTCAGAGTGACAATCGAGCTCCGCATATTGAAGTAATGAAACACAGGCGACGGTATTCTTTTGTCTTATTGTAGTTGAGCTCAGCGAAACTTTTCTGGGTTAATTTTCATGTTTTTCAATACAATTTTCAGCAGATTTTGCTGTCAAGGCTGGAATAATTTTCCATGTCTTGATGGGGCGGCAAAATTAATCAAGCACACGCATAATAAAAGACAAAAGAACAAATTAAGTACGCGGATGGCCTTCCAAAGAACTAAAGAACTTGGACACTAGAAGATCAGTACCAGGTATTCTAGGGTCCTTAAAGGTTGCTCTATAAATAACCCATATATTCTCAATATAAACTTCATTGTCATTGATCGATTTAATATTTTTTCCTTGTTATTTCCCTAAGATTTCTGAGAAGTCTCTGGCCTTTTCCCATTAGTCTTCTCTCCCTTTGGAGCAGACTGCTCTAACATGTGTCCAACGATTTGTCTCCGGAGCGGAAGCCCCCGGCTCAACTTCCTTTCAGCACATGAAAAAACCCAAAGATGCATCCTCCAAAAGGGTTGCTCTTTCGGTTGTCATTCAACAGCTGTAGGCCCCTCCCTTTGCACAATTAGAAATTATTACCCTAGATATCCGATTGTCTTAACTGATTGTCAATGGCCATAAATTTATTGAGGGCCCGAGTGCGGCCAGAAGAAATATTAATGATAAGGCACACATGCATACGAAATCAAAGCAGGGAGCAGAGAGACATGGACTTGGCTATTGGCCCCGGGGGCAAGTGCAGCATTTGTTGGCCAACTGCTGTCCGCTTTTCGTCTTCTTCTTTGCTTTTTTGTAAGCCATCATAGACCAGGGCCAAAGTCATCAGCAACTCACCTGCTGTTGACTTAGAATACTAATTCAGTTCGCTGCCCGGGCCGGATGTGGTGACATTTGGTCGAGCCACATCAGCTCCTCTTCGAGGCACTTACACTAACTGCTCCGAGACGCTCTCACTCCCGCCCTTTTGTCTCTTGGCCCTAACAAATATTGGTGGCAATAAAAAGCTAATAAAGAATATGGACAGCAAATGTCTGGACGACAAGTGTGTGCGGATGCCAGGGCTGGGCAATGCCTAGGAAAAAGGTGTCCTAAAAAACTATTTATAAATAAATTTAAATATGGAAAAATTACTTTAAAGTAATCAAAACAGATTCATACTTTGACAAAATTATAATTTATAATATATATGATTATAACACTATATAATCAATATAAATAATAATAATGTTATCAATATAAAGAAAACTTATTAGTTAAACTATCATCCAAGTTCATTATTTAAAACAATAAGAGAAACTAACTTCGAGAAACACATATTTTTGTATGACAATTTTTTTCAAAAATCGTAGTTTAAAAAAACTCATAACTAAGCCAAAAAATCATTAATTTTAATTCGGAAAGCTGTTCTATGCTAGTTTTTAGTAGATTAACAGAGCTGCATACTCAGTTTTCAAATTTAAAAAATTCAATTTTTTGTCAAATTTTGGAAATATTAATGATGTAACCCCTTATAAAAATTTCAATTTTCGGAAAAATGCCAAAAATTAATTTTTTGACCGGACATGTCTAGATTGATTCAGCTGTTAATTCTGATCAAGAATATATATGATTTATGGGGTCAGAAATGATTCCTTCACTTCGTTTCAAGCTTCTGACTGAAATTGAAGTTCGATTTATTGAAGGCTTTTGTTTTGGACACCTTATTCATTCCACACTATAGTCTTAAAATATTTCAAATAAGTTTTAGATATATTCCCTACTTTTTGAGTTCCCATTGATAGAGATATATATAGCCACAACCCTGGCATTATTATTAGCCTTGTCACTGACTTTCCTCGCGGGTAATGCAGCGGCGTTTAACAATTCATAAACATGGCTTGCACTGACGCCACTCGTCTCGGATTTGTCCCCTTCTCCGTCTGCGTTTTTGGTTCACTTTTCAGGCGATGTGCTCTGGAATGGGAGGGAGTCCAGTGTCCACATGGAGAAGGCTATTCCCCCGTAGACTGCGATCCCGAAGGGAAGTAGTGCAGACAGGGCCCCGTTTATGTATGCAAAACTAGTTTTCTTTTTTAGGGCCATGTCTGGGAATCGAATCGGAATCGAAACTGAAACCAAAACCAAAGTCGACACCAAAATTAAATGCAATACTATTTGGTCTACGATGCAAGGAGGAGGAGGAGGAGGAGGAGGAGGATGAGGAGGAGGAGTACGGAGGGCACGCATTTACAGGGCCTGAAAGAGCATTTTGCGTGTTCGACAAATTTGTAGCTGCCTGTCCAGGGCCTGATCACGTTTTAATTGTACAAAAGCGACGACAACAAAATGTTTCGCTACTGTCCTCTGTAGACAGTCTTCTGTAGACTGGCGCCTACCGTGGGCTAATTAACATTGTCAAAGGGGAAAAGGGGGAATGCCACAAGTAAAAAAGCAAACTAAATTTTAAGTCCAACTGTGTTCCCATTCACACTCGCTAAACGTTTTACTTTCTTAAATCGTTTTTAATTGTGTTTGTCAAATGGCAATGTGAAACCGATAGACCGCATTTGATAAGGCTAAGGAGTTGGCAGAGGGGAAGGAGCATGATGGTGGTGGTGGAGGAGGGTGGGTGAGAGCCACTGGAGAAACTGGTCACTGGAGATGGACTCTGGATCGTGAGGAACTCGTGGATATATCGGACACATAGGATAATAACAACCAATCTTAAGGGTCTTTGGGTGGAATCCTCCTTTCTATTTATTATAATTTTGTTACTTTTTAATAACCATTATTTAATATGTACCTTGGAGTATAGTAAAGATCTAGTAAAGATTTTAACTTTTGTACACTAAAATATATTGCTTCTTATTTACTCAATTACTAATATAAATCCCATCTAAATAATATGCAAAATATCAATTTTTCTCATTAAATTAACAGGTATCAAGAGTTCCACAATTAATATTATAAAAGACCCCCTCTAAATCGTGTCACGCACCCATCTCTAAGCCCCCATTGGAAAGCAAACGATTCTCAAGGGTTAGGTTACCCCAAAAGATTGTTATGCCTGGCATTTAATTGCCTTGTAAGTGAGGAGCACCGGTAGCAGCTTCTCATTGTTTCGATGTCTTCTCGATTCGCGTTGCACGCATTTCACGGGGCCAATTCGAAACAACAAAACAGTGGCAGTGGCAGCATCGCAACATCAGCAACATCGGTAGCAGCATCAGCAGCAGCAGCAATATCTGTTGCAACAAACGAAGCTGCAAACGCTTTTGGCATCCCAAACTTCGATATAAAAGATATCGGGTATCGACGGCGGCTACTGATTTTGCACCTGTTTAAATGCTTTCGATATTTGTGATCCCATTGATAATGGCTGGACATAAAACTAGGATGCCAGCGAAGGAGCAGCGGCAACTTGATTGCGGAAATGAGTCCCCCAAAGTCAGCGATTCCAGCGAAAGAGCCGCAGTTTATTGGCACGTTTCCAAG